TGTGAATCTAACCTGGTCAGAAGCAGGTTTTATTCTCTAAACTCTGAGTTTCTGTCGGTCTCCTCCCCTTTTTAAAGATGAAGCGTATTTCTCGCCTTAGCCTTACGTTTCCACACACCTATTTTAGAGCTCATTTTGGAGATGTGCAAAAAATTATTGATAGAAACGTCATGATTCACATAACTTTTGAAAATACATATAATAAAACATGTGCATAACTGAGTAGGATAAACTTTTATTTTTTGATAAGAAAAGATGCGCATAAACTACGAAGTGCACTTAACAAATTACAGTATGTACATTAAAAACAGGTTTGTTAGAGATGATGATGAAAATGTGTGTGAATAGACAAACCAGCAGACTGAGCACACTGTAGAACATCTTAAATGTTGTTTTAGTCATTCTAAAATGCCTTGACTGTTTCAGTATTAGTGTATAATATTAATTACCTCAGAGCGTCTAGAGCGTGTCAAGATCTCCGCGTCTGGCCTTAAACGCCCCCACGTGTTCATTGTGTGTCAATTGTCTTCTGAGGCGCAAGTACATTAATTAAATAAAAAATCATTGACGCAGCTTCTTCTACCGCAGTAAATTCTGTTTTTACTGTTGATATTTGGTGCAAGTAATTCAGGAAGTGACGATTGTGTTCTCTTTGACTCGTTGGATAAAAACGCTGCTTTATTAGAATCTTTTAGGCGTTATTCCAGATTTGCACAAATTTATGTAAGCCTGTATTTTGATGGAAACACAGCTATTGCCTACATTTTTGTCACACACAGAACAAAGTCACGTACGAGGCTTGTCCTTTTTTCATAAATAATTAGCTTAATTAGTTTCACTAATGGTTGCTTCATTTTTAAATATATACACTCATATTTGCTACAACTTTGCATGAGCAGATCAAGTTCAGTCGGAGAAATAAATAGTGATCTCTTTTATAAGATGTTGCCATAGTCATTCATAATATCTGTGCTCTATTGATGCCTTTTTATAGTCACAGTGTGCACGCTTGACTCTGAGTTGGTCTACTCAAAGTTGATTGACCTAACTCAGATCAGCTGTTCTGAAACCGAAAACTCAGAGTTTTTAATTTCTCGGCAAATCAACTCAGAGTTCAAGTTTAAACTCCAAGTTGTTTGAACCTCCTTACTGAAACAGGCCCCGGATTGCATGGGTGTCATGACTTTGTAAATAAAGTGTCATTATAATGGAAGTCAATGGGGCAAAAACAGCTCCAAACATAATGAAATAGTACATTTTCTAAGCATTTTCCCAAATTATGTGTTAAAAAAAGATTTGTCACCAAACACAAAGAAAGTTACGGCCAAATTAGTACTCAAAATTCGCCCAGAGTGGATGAAAACATCCCAAACAGCACACAAAGGTTAAACATGCAGATTATTTTCGTTTAATAAATGTTATTCCAAAAACCTACTTGCGTTCGTGAGCCTTGGGTATTGGGTTGGTGCAGCGCTGGCTATTGTACTTGGCTACATATTCGCACTGCCTGAAGGGAGCAGTTCGGTCCTCGAGCACATGGCGGATGCAGAAAGCATAACCGTTGAGCCTGCGCTGCTTGCAGAGCTTAGGACTGTATGAGCACAGAGGCTTGTGGTCCACCTCCGAGTAGTGGATGTGTTTGCCTTCATACATCCCAGGGCTGGAACTCTCCGGAACATCAGCTGAGGAATTAACGGCTTGTGAATGAGACACAATTATGACAAAAACGTGAGTAATTTACAAAAGGTCCACCAATATATATGTATGATGGGTGCTGACCCCATATTTCAAGCTTCGCATCATGAATGATTAGTATTCAAAAGTATTTTTAATATAATTCAAAGTATTTTTAATTGATTTGAGTTAATTTTTAAAATAATGCTTTTCCATACAAGATTCTGAGTCAAAAATAACTTACTACTTTTAATATTGTTCAGTTTATTATACACACACTGTGCAATTTGGACATCAGTTCTATAAAACAATATGGATTCTGACTGACTGTCTATGTTAATCAACTGGAGAAAGAGATCATTCCAAATCTGACGCCAATTATATAAAAATTTTATTATAATAACTATATTCCTTTCTGTGAACGTTCCTTTAGCGTATGGTGCCCTTTGTTTCTCTAACTATTCACAAAATCAAAAGGTATGTGATATCTACACTTTAAATTAAATTTAGTGTTTGAAAACCATGTAGTGTATACCAGAATTTACATGATCCATTTTATTAAACTCAATTGCAGGAAACTCCAGCTTGATCCTCCAGCTTGATCCTGAAGTTCGGCTAAACTGTCCCTACTAAAAAAAAAACAGCTTAAACCAGCCTAGGCTGGTAGGCTAGTTTAAGTTGGTCGACCAGGCTGGTTTTAGAGGGGTTTTGGCCATTTCCAGCCTGGTCTTAGCTGGTCAGGCTGAGAGATGACCAGCTAAAACCAGCTTGACCAGCCTTGCCATGCTGAGAGCCCAGCCAAAACCAGCTATGTCTATGTCTATATGGCCAGCCTGGTTTAAGCTGGATTTAGCTGGCCATTTTCCAGCCTGACCAGCTAAGACCAGGCTCGTTGGCCAAAACCCCTCAAAAACTAGGCTAGTCAACCAGCTAAAACCAGCCAACCAGTCTAGGCTGGTTTAAGCTGGATTTTTCAGCAGGGATATACTTTACACAGACACATAATGATAGCTAGTTGACATTTAGAGAGCAAGTAAATCAAAGCTCTCAGATCTTGAATAGCACTTACTAATGTATACAAAACCATAAAGGTTATGTCTCTATAATCAAAGTCGACCAGCTATAAAACCATGAACATAAAAATTACACACTTGCTTATCCACGTCAAGTGACATTCAATTTAAAAAGAGCTTTCATTTTAATCACCTCCGACATTTAACAAATCTGAACTCTGCGTTTCAAAGCACCCCTAAAAGCATGCAGTGTGTAGGTTACTCGGCATAAACAGCTCAAATCATTAAATATTAAAGTGACAGGAAGACGGGAAAGTAACCCCTGTTTTAAGCAATCAATGACACTTTAAAAACAGCTGGTGTAAGCAGAGCTTTTAGCAGGTGAAGCACTAAATCATAAAACGATGGCTCATAAAAGAGTTTGGGCAGAGTACAATACGTTTGACATGCAAAGCAACTTTGAAAACGCAAGGGGACGGTGGACAACCCGCCTCCTACTCTATCATGTACTTGGGCAGCACTATCAGTTACTTTTGAGGCAAGGATTGAGCAAGTTGGGTGTAGCGCCGAAGTAACACTTTTGATTCTTTTAACGGAAAGATACGGTCAAAAAATGTAAAGCGGAAGAATGCTATTCTTTGTTGCGACGTAGAAACATTTCGGCCGTATTTTGAAACTTTGTAACGTTTGTCGGAGTACTTATTTAAGTGGCTAAGCCGCTCGGGACCGATAATAAGCAATAATACCCGTACGCCTCGTCGACTACCGGAGACGTTTGAAAGTTTCGAGGGTCTTTAATTCGGAGTACTTTCGCGCATTTGCGTTGTAATAATATTACAAGAAAAACCGGTTTCCGATACACATTTTGTCAACAAATGTTCCTTTATTTGTGCGTAATTCGTAGTTACCGTTGGCCTCTGAAACCTTCCGAATCCCCCCGAGTCGAGTAACGAGGCACCCGCCTTCCAGTGCGCGATAAGCGGGCTTCCGCCTTCACTTGAGTCCGATGCTTCCCGGCAGCCGCTCAGCCTTCGGTCGCTGCGGCCTGTGCTAAACAAGCTACGCTGATCTTTTCATACGGTCGACGGCTACTGCTCTCAACGGGGCTATTCAGCCTCTACCTATCCACTCTCCGCTAGCGGAATTACTTTTTAACGCATGCATTTAATTTTATACGAATCCTACAGGCACATCTTTGTCGATTATTGAACTAAAACTAGCCGTACACAAGGAGAAGGGGGTGTTGGTTTAGTCATCGGATGCGAGGCTTCTTACAGCACAACTACAGGCACTGGGGGGACATGACAACAGCCGACAGTGCAACAACAACCTCTGCAACCATTTTGGAATTCAACTTTGTATGTTCATTGTCGGCTTTAAGAAAGATGACAGACCTCGCAAACACACAATACAGATTGAACATTTGACTGTCTGTCTGTCTAAAGTGTTCAGGCCGGCGAGAAGTTTTATTTAAGCCGCACACATTGATTTTAAGTTTGAGGGATCTCCCCCAAAGTCTTTTCCGACAGCCTCCTCTTACGCGTCTCATCCATGCCTGGAATGACATCACCAACTTCAAATTCACTGCAATCTCACGTGCCAAGATAACATTAGTTTGTGTCAAAATTTATATCGCTGCTATTTCAACAAACTGTTAGCAAGACGACAAAGCTCCAGATAAAACCTCTAAGGCAGGTGAGAGTGGGTGCAAAGAGATTTCGAAGTGTGTCTAAAGGTTGCCCCCTATCAATCCACTTCAGTGATGTCAGCATGATCTTAATACAGTTGCAGAAGAATTGTATGCAAAAGTGTTTGACATTATTAATAATCAAATGTTTACATGCCCTAGAGTTAAAAACAAAATCATGATAAATCCATTCATTTGCCATTTAGGAAAATATAATGAATTAAAAATAATCTAACAACTACAGTTTGTTCTCTGCATTACACTGCACTTGTACCTATAAAGGGATAGTTCACCCAAAAACTCATTTACTCACTCTTTAATTGTTCCAAATCTGCTAAATTCACCTGTTGAACACAAAATAAGATGTGTTGATGAAGGCTGTAGCCATTAACTTAGAATAGCCAAGAAATGGAAGTAAATGGTTACAGTTTTTTAGCTGTTATACATATCTTCTTTTGTGTTCAACAGAATAAAGAAACTAATAAAGCTTTGCAACCACTTCAGGATGAGTACATTTAATAGAACGCATTTTCTCCTCACATTTCCATTCTAGCCTCCAAATAAACAGATTTTCCACTGCGCATGTACTATGAATACCCAGCGATGTAAATGGCGACAATAGTATATTGATATAATACATTTTATTTTTATTCATCATAATAAGAGCTTTCCAAAACAAAGCAGACCTCATTCAGATTCATCGTGGGAATGAAAACTTTACAACACCGTTCAAAGCCTATTTAAATATGAGCACGTTTTAATTAGGCTCTTGTGCAGCCCGTGCAAGAACACAGAGAGCTGAGTAAGCAGAAACAGAGGTTTGTGTTCGTTCATGTACGTGACGAAGACTACTTTTGTGCGTAGTACTACGGACAGATCGGTATGCCTGAAAGGTTTTTAACAAATTGAGGGCTCATCAACCGCTGCTGCTCCCTCCGTCACAGCTTTCACACACTTGGCCATTGTCGGAGAAGCTCTGCTGATGGGGTCTGTGGTGGAAGACAAACAAAGACAAAATAAATAAGTTGAAAGACATACATTTTGCTTACAGGATTACATCTTGCATTTAAGAATAATAATAATTAAATGAATATATTTGTTTCTCTACCTGTCATGTAGAAATCCTTTACTGTGAGCTGAGGAGGGACAAGAGGAGCTGCAAGCAATGACTGATTCACAGCCTGACGAGAAAGAAAGACATTACTGATCTGTTCAAATAGTTCAGATTTCAAACTAATTTTGTACTTGGAGTAGGGAAAAAACACTTACATTTGAAAGCTCATGGGCCTGTTTGAAATAATTGGCTTCCTCTACATCATCGTATCTCACCAGGTTAGGAGAAACCTCAGCCAGCCTTCTCCTTACCTCATCCAGTGTGTCATACGGCAGCGTGACTCCTACCAACTGAGTACACACACACAACAAAATCAACAACATAAGAATGTAGACTAAACAACACGCACTTTAATCTAGAAGACAGCTCTATCTTATAGATGTGCACAGTTGTGAGTTTATCTCTTTAACTTTCCTCCCTAAATAAGTAGAACTAGAGTTTGGAACTCACAATTGTATGCTGTAAACTTGTATTTGCAAGTTAAAAATGTATTTATTTTTGAATTCCGTTTACATATAGCAACTAAAAACATTCAGGTTTAAAAATAGCAAATGTTTTTTAAAAAATAAGTCAGAAACTTACTTTAAATTATTGGTGTCCAAATAAACGTAGTCAGTGACTGCTTTTTTTTTTCTAACATTCTTCAGATTATCTTGAAATTAATAAACAATTTGAACCACCTAAGTGCCTATCCCTAAACTATACCTATTAAGTACAAAAATTTTACCTCAGAAACGGCACGCAATATCTTCCAGTCCTCACGTGCCATACCCGGAGCGGTGACTGCCACCCTGGTCTGCTGTGCACGGCCCTCTGTGTTGACGTAGGTGCCAAACTTTTCAGTGTACGCAGCACCAGGCAAGATGACATCAGCAATAGGTGCACCTACATCACCATGGTGACCTGGACAAGCATTTGTTACCATTAATCCCAAACTAATATGATTGATGTTCAGGGATGTCCAAACTCGAGGAGGGCCAGTGTCCTACATATTTTTGCTCCAACTTCCTTCAACACACCTGCCTGGAGGTTTTTGTATACCCAGAAAGAGCTTGATTAGCTGGTTCAGGTGTGTTTAATTGGAACTAAAATATGCAGGACACCGGCCCTCCAAGATCGAGTTCGGGCACCCCTGGTGGCATATAACACAAAAAGTGCAACTGTGGTTACTGACCCTGGTAAACGATAAAGCTATCTTTAGGAAGGTCTGCTCTGGTGATGCATCCGGCATCAGCTCCCAGGAGAAACAGCACTTTGGGAGGATTCTTCCGAATGGCATCAACACCAGGTTTATAACCCAAGTCCAGAGCTGCCACTTGACTGGCCACCCTACAAACGTGTATATGATAACATCAGATCTTGTGGGAAAAAAATGGTCTACAAACCCAATTCTTTTAATCACAGAGAACATCAAAACTGAGACAAAGTAGGCAACGGCTGACCTGTGCAGTACATTGAGAACCTTCCATCCCTCCTCAACACCACTGCTGGCCCGAGCATTTTGAGCAATTGTGGACACAGCCTTTAAGATGGCTGCCCCATCATCCCTCTGAAGAGCAGAGCTACCCACCACCACGATAGGCTTTTTGGCTTGGCCGAGGTCCTGAAATACAAACTCTAATTCAATAGGTAATTTCTGATAATGTCATGCTTGGAGACAATGCATGACTAGCTAGTTAAAGTTAGTTTAAAGGATTAGTTCATCCAAAAATCGAAATTCTGTTATTATTTACTCACCCTTATAATGTAACCTCTCAGAGACCTTTGTTAAAGGGTCACGAAACACATTTTTTGAGCTGTTGACAGTCGTATATGTGTCCCACACTGCTAAAAACACTGTTAGGACACCTATATTTCACTAAAAAGTGTAAATTGGTTGTTTTTGCGTTATTTCAAGCAAATTCGTACTTCCGGTTTGAAACGAATTTTTGAAGCTGCGTCACGGTCATGACATAATAGTGTTGTATTCCAGCGTGCAGACTGGACGTCTGTGCCAGAGTGTGTCTTATTACGTCGTACAGTGTGATGCATTAATGCATGAGTAAGGCTTGGTTCAAACCAATCAGCGCGCTCCATTGTGCAACTTCATTAATATTCATTACTGTCATAATGTTTAGACGACAGAGACGCCATGTTGTGTTGGCAAAACAAGCGTGAAGTTTTGCTTTTATAGTTTGCTGCAGTTAAGTTTTGTTTTCATTTTCTCTCTGTGAGTGCTCAGCTGGAGTCACGCATGGATTAACAGTGTACGCGACGCTCGACAACAATAACTTGCATGTCTAAGGAGGATTATTGTTTACCTGAGACCTGTTCTCATCTGCAAACGCTGAGATCCGGATTCGCTTTAGTCTCCTCTTAATAAAGACGCGGCTCTAGTTGCTGGTGATTGTCCTATCTCTACAGATTTGGTAAGTGAGCGACCAGTGCTCTTTGTTTATTCAGTTTGTTCGTATCGAACTAAGTTAACTATTGCACCGAGTACAAACATGTTAGCACCACAACCAAACTTTAACCTAGTGTAGGATTTTCGCCGCATTTAGTGACCGGAATAAACACACGCGACTTTCTGACACTACCTGCTGTGTGCATCTAAGTTTCCGGGAAATGCTGAGTTTTTTTTTCTCTCATTCGCCGTGCGGTATCAAACATTGCATGAAAATACACGCTTAGAGCAGATCCTCGAATCAAATATTTTGTTTGTCGCGAAAGGCATGAATGAATTCCCTGAATAAAAGAGCCAAACTGCAGTTAAAGTCCACCATTTAATAATTTGGCAAATAATTCGACTACAGATGTCTATGTAAACACAGTCACTTTGTCCCCTGTGTGGGTGTGTGTTTTGACTCGGAAAGTCAGCGTGCCCAAATAGACACTCCCACACCAAGCCTCTTTACTTTCTAAGACACTCCCCCCTAAACAAAGCTGAACACGCCCACTTTCTGACTTTTTCCAAAGTAGAGGTGTGAAAACACCCTGCTGAAACGAGGGAGTTTCATGGACCTTTAATTTCTGGAACACAGATATTTATATGAAATCAGAGAGCTCTCTCATCCTCCACAGAACACAATGGCCCGAAGATGTTTAACATTTTCTGTGACTGCAGTGGTTCAACTGCAATCATATGAAGCTCCAAGCTCCTATTGTAAAACAATTTTAATATCCTCTGTCTATGCATCAGATTAGAGTGTGTTTCCTATGGGAAATATGACATTTGCATTTCACACTAATCATTCTAATGAAAATCGGTTGTATTGCCCGAAAAAAATGTGTTCCCTGACCCAGGACAGGAGAGGACATATTGGTGAAACAGTTGTGTTTACAGCAGGGTTTATACAGGCACATCCTAATGAAAATCAAGGACTTTTAAGCACTTTTTCCAGCACCTACTTTTATTTTCAAGACTGAAACGCAACGTATTGAACACCTGAAATGTATTCTCAGTAACTCATAAAAACAATGCATAGGAACTATCTATTAATTTATACAGATAAAAAAAACATTACTATGTATAATAAGTATAATAATTAATGAATAATATATTAATATTATAATAAACCAAGACTGACATGCAACGTGTAAAACACCTTAAATGTCTTTTCAGAAATTTATAAAAATACTGCATTGGAACTATCTATCGATTTATACAAATAAAAACCATTAATAATGATAATAATATAGTAATTAATCATATATTAATACTATAATAAACCTACACTAAATGTGCTTATTAATTTAATTATTTTATTTGTGGTTGTTCTCTCACAGATGGAAAGAGAACAGAATATTTGCACTCAAAAAAATCAACTAGGCATGTATTGGATTTACAAAATAAAAATTGGTCAGATTGAAAAGAACAAATCAAGTTTACGTATGTTAAATGATTAATTCATGCTATTTGAAACTGAATCAAGAAATAATCAAATGAATTTGATCAGAACATGTTCATTCAATGATACTGAGACGCTTCAAATCGACAACTCTCACTCTGGAGAGTCACTTTACATATCAGTAGGTGGCGGTAGTGCGTTTGGATGTCACCATACGAAAACAACAAGAAGAAGTATCACCGCGTGTTTTCGGCACAGTTTGGGAATTGGTTTTCCCAAGAGCTTGAATGATATGCATGTTATGTTGTTGGCTATATGTTTCCTATACATTTTATACTTTTACATTTTGAATAGGAGTACCAAAGTGAAGAAAGCTGTTTAAACTCAATTGGTAAAAAAAATGATGTTAACGTCCTACAGGTATTGCTTGGGGATCAGTTTTCTTAAGAGCCAAGGTTATTTTGTTGGCTAAATGTTTCTTATACATTTTATATTACATATTACAATTTTGGATATTATATAACATTTTGTATCAGAATATTAAAGAAGAAATTTGTTTAAATGTGATTGGTGCCTGCTAAAGGCTATAAAAAAAATATATATATATATATAACATGTTTTCTGTCCTTCTTGTGTTGAATTACTTAATTTTAAATCTTGCTTCATAGTATTGTCATTTAAAAAATGTAATTTAAGCAACTGGGCGAGGCAGTGGCGCAGTGGGTAGCACGTCCGCCTCACAGCAAGAAGGTTGCTGGGTCGCTGGTTCGAACCTCGGCTCAGTTGGCGTTTCTGTGTGGAGTTTGCATGTTCTCCCTGCCTTCGCGTGGGTTTCCTCCGGGTGCTCCGGTTTCCCCCACAGTCCAAAGACATGTGGGACAGGTGAATTGGGTAAGCTAAATTGTCCGTAGTGTATGTGTGAATGTTTCCCAGATGGGTTGCGGCTGGAAGGGCATCCGCTGCGTAAAAAACTTGCTGGATAAGTTGGCGGTTCATTCCGCTGTGGCGACCCCGGATTAATAAAGGGACTAAGCCAACAAGAAAATTAATGAATGAATTTAAACAACAATATTGAACAAGAAATTTACTAGCTGATTTAACGAGACATAATTTTGTTAAAGTAAAGCTTTAGTGTTACATTGAGTAAATTAGAATCATTTTAATTAGAATAACACAATACAAACATTTTGAGTCAATTAGTTGCAAAGAAGTTAGACTGACATATTGAAACCATGTTTTATCTACAAATGTGCTTTGTGTTCATACAACATGTTCAAAGCAGTTCAGGTTTACTTGATTGGATTAGATGCATAAAGGGTGCCACGATTAAATCATGTTCATTCAACAAATTTTTTTTTTGAGTGTGTACTCAAGTAAAAATACAATTACACTGCTAAAATAATACACTTTTCAGTACTTTTTGACTAAATTTAATTAATAAATTTAATTAATTAATTAGGAGATTGTCATTGTAAACAGTCTGAGCACACACGTGATGATGAGAGGACTTGCAGGTCATTTGAAAAATCCTATTTAAGAGCTCACATACCAGTTTTTTGTGGCTAATGAGATGACTGTGCTCTCATGTTAAAATAAAGCACTCGCGACATTTGCAGAGAAGAAAAATTGCGCAAAACCTGCATTCCCGCTCCGACATATATGTAATTCTTCAACTACGTGCACTTTTAAGTCCTTTATACAAAAATATATATAATTTTGTTAAAATAAAAAAAAATGTACTACCTTTCTATTTTATTTTTTCATATTATTCAACCTCTTTTTACCTTGTCGCACACCCAGAGTTTTAAGCTTCAAAAATGAAAATAACATTTTAAAATAATATTTATCTGGTAACTATTAATGTATCTTAATGAACCACTGTCATTTCCATCACCACACACATTTAAAAAATATATATATAAAAAGTTCTCATCCCACATTAAAAGTGTATTTACAATGTATAAGTTTGTGCTCTATTAAATATACAAATTCTGTTTATTTATTTTCTAATAAGCTCTTTACCAAATTAATATGAAATTTTAGAGGTTTACAGGTGTACAATTCAGCATACAACCTAATTTATTTCATTGACAAATGTGTAAATATTACATATATTGTGGAAAGATAGGTTAAACTAGAGATAAAAATGATCTTAGACAATGTTTGACTGCCACAACTTATTTTATTTTGAAATAAGCTGTCTATTAAGATGTGGTGAAATTCACATTTGTTCAGTTCACGATGGGAAAAAAAAATGTTAAATATGAACAATTTATCCTCTTAAAGATCTTAAAACTAGACAAATTGTTTAAAATTATGAGGCTATGTTACCATTTTTTTGAAAGTTTTTTTTACTCAACTTCACAAGGTTAAAAGTGCCCATAGTTGAAGAATAGCCCATAAACTGTATTAAACCAGGCTTCAGAAGAGTGACAAATCTGAGGCGAGTAAACTCACCGTTGGAGAGAAGAGAGCGAAACGTGTGTGTAGATTGTCAAAATGGCAGGAAGTATGTCCGTGGTTTAATTACTCGAGTTAATAACATAGACATCTCTATAGTCAAAACATCCAAAAAGCATTATTCCAATAAAACATTTGATTTTAAGTTGTTATTTTCTGCCACTTCAACACAGAAAGGCCTTTGTCCCGCCCTTATGTTTCACGCAAAACTAGACAAGGTCGACTGTGATTGGCCACTTTTCATGTCAGTCAAATCACCGTAGTTTGTGCGGGTATTTTAGCATTAAATTGTCACAAAAGTTCACAAACATTTGAATTTTTCCGGTGTGAAAATTGCATTTAAATTCTCCTAATCCTAATTTTAAGCACTTTTCAACAAAACAAGCCAATTTTCCAGGTATTCCAGGCCTCGAATTTCTTAAAGCCAAATTCAAGCACTTTAAGCACCTTGTGCGAACCCCATTACAGTTTTTTTTTTCTAAAGTGTTCATATGATTACAGTTGAACCACTGAAGGAATGTTCTGAATATGTTTTTGGGTCCTATTCTGGGCATCTCAGGACTGTTGCCATCTATGAACGCTCTCGGATTTTATCTAAAATATCTTAATGTGAGTTCTAAAGCTAAACAAAGGTCTCATGCGATTGGAACAACATGAGTTCATTCAGAATTAGCAGAATTTGCGTTTTTGAGTGAACTAACCCTTTACGCTGACAAACTTCAACAACACCATATAATGCTACCTTGCAGAAAGGATGTGTTCCAGCAGCAATGTCCTGCAGAACCTGTGTGGTTTCACCCAGATGGTTGTAAGAGTAGCTCAGATCCACATCATGACCCACCATGGCCACTTGGAGCTCATTATGCAACCAACTGAATAATGGTATAAAAAGAAAACAGCAAGGTGAAGTGAAATGACACCCAGTTGTCTGGTTAAAACGGTTGCAAATAGCACACAGTGGCTATACCTCTTGCGGATACGTGCATTGAAGAGAGGAGCCTCATAACGAGGGTTTGTCCCAATCAGTAGCAGAAGGTCACACTCCTCAATACCAGTGATACGGCTGTTCAAGAGGTAATTGGAGCGCAGGTCGGATCTAAGGAGCCAACAGAGTAGAATTAGTTTAAATGCTTAAGGAATAGTTACGCCAAAAAAAGAACAGTCCGTCATTAATTGTGACAAGAAACCAAAATATTCAAACAATGAATGAAGATATTTACCTGCATTAAAAGTTCATAACAAACATTATTTTCTATCTTTAACACCATTCATGAAGAAACCACTTGGATTTTTCCAAACTCAAATGTTCTTGTGTCTGGTGTCAAGCAAGACTGTATAAGCTGTTGTTTTCCATATTTAAAGTGCTGATGATGAATGTTTTATGTGAATAAAAGCCTAAATTAGATCTATTCATCAAATGACCCCTATAAACACTCTTATTTTTAAGTTTGCGCTTTAATGAATGGAGAGAAATCTTTTAGGTTGCAATCAAATTAACTTAATTTAGCATTTCAAGGATGAACGCAAGTCTAATGGGTTTAGAAAGACACAAAGGTGAGTAAATGATCACAGTTTTCTTTCTGGAACAATTATCAGTAAACCTATCAGGACTTTCTGAAATCAAGTCAGACAATAATTCAACAAGGATGACTGTTGTTACATGCTGAAGTTAAAATAGCTTGAAAGGCAAAAGCAGGAGTTTTTTTTTAGTGTTTTGAGTTTATGATTTAGTTGCTTTGGTGTTCTGGGTGACTGCAAAGTGGTTACTTATTTGCACATGTCATATTCTTGGTCATAAGCAGGGCCAGACGGAATCTGCGGACGTTTTTTGCTATTTCTGCTGAGAATTTTGGTAAAAATCTGCGTATTTCTGCGTATTTATTTTGGGAGTATCCAGAGGAGTATCATAACTAAAACCTTAATATATTAAATAAAAAGTAATAAATTACTGAATACAAACTGGATAAATTCAGATTTACACATTTACTCAAGTAAATAAACAGAATTAATAATGGGCTAAAAATCTGCAGAAATCTGCGGAATCATAAGTACGCCCACACAGAATCTGCACACAGAATTCCCCAGATTTTTAGCCCATTATTGAGTCTGTTTATTTACTTGTGTAAATGTGCGTAAATTTATATTTATTCAGTTTAAAAAATTTATTTTAGTAATATTATTGCCTATAATGAAAATATGTATATGATTTATTTACAATATAGTTAGTAAAGTAATATTTTCTGTCTTTTAGAAGATATTATATGAGAGAATTGCTTTGTTTACCAAATAAAGTGGATCTAATTGGATTTGCATTGTAAACATTAAAATACAAGTTAAAAGGGTATTAATTTTCATTTCATATATTGAGGTTTTAGTTATGATACTCCCAAAATCATTCTGCATAAACTTTAACCAAAATTCTGTGCAGAAATAGCAAAAAATGTCAGCATATTCTGTCTGGCCCTAGTCATAAGTCATAAGGGTTAGTTCTTCCTGAAATAATAATAATAATAATCTGTAATCATTTACTCATCTTCAAGTCATTCCAAACACACAAGAAATTTAAATATCTTCAGATAATAAATGAGGATAATTTAAATAAAATCTTGGATTCTTATCGCCCATGAATGATGCTTCAAAATATAAAAAAAAAATTAAATTGAGTCGTTTAATCCAATAATCTTGATAATCGTGATTAGTTTATAAGATGAACAGGTTTGTAGGCCTACATTCTCAATAATGAATATTGATCAGCAAATATTCACAACATCTAAATTTGGTCACAGAAGCTCAAGCATGCTGGTTTGATGTTGAGTGGGGGAAAAAAATTGTAGTATTGAAAAAGAACTAATTATTTCTGTGTACATCTGAGTCTCTCAAGAACCAATAAGCCTTTATCATGCAAGTTGATCAAAGTTATTGATCAAAGGATTTGTGTTTTTGGTCTGTTGATAAACATTTTTATCAACCGTGTGTATTGAGTGAAAGAAATTCAATGGAGGAACAAAATTGTCTAGTCATTAAAAATACCTTTATTTGTGTTGTGAAGGTAAACAAAAGACTTTTGGATTTGGAACAACTTGAGGGTGAGTAAGTTATGACAATTTTCAGTTACACTATTTTGAGTCACATTAGCTACTGTGTACTAAAAGTAAGTGCAGTGTACTTATTGTGTTGATATGGTACTGCAGAAGATTTATGGGGTTTTTAAGCTGGGATATGTGTAGGGTTAGGGACAAGTTCGGTGGTATAAGTAGGACAAAGGGTGTGTTAAAGTGTAAGGATAAACTGTAATTATAAATGTAATTACAAAAACTAATTACATGCACGTACATTTTAAATATGAGTACAATGTATGTACATAATAAGTGCATTGTACCAAATTATTCATTCATATGTACATAAATGGTATATAATGTGACTTAAAATAAAGTGATAACAAATTTACATAATTTAAAATGGGTAAACTAACCGCTTTGAGCAATTGCAAAATAGATGTTTGCAGTAATAGTATTACTTTTATGTATACACCAGTATATCCTTGAAATCAGTGTGAACAAAAAAGTAATTATGACTGAAATTAGACAGGCTAGATTTTATGAGGACTCACCCAGCACCAGCCATTGGGAAGATCTCTTCAGTGCAGAGAGACTCGCTGTCCAGTTTGTTCAGCAGGTCCTTCAGAGCCACCAGTGCCTCAGCGTCCACCATCCCACCAGCAATAGCTCCAATCTCAGAACCTTTAACTCCCTGGAGCTGCAAAACATAAATCACAACCACTGAAATCTTTTGTCTACAAATGTAACAGTGCATCACACTAAAATGATTCTTGAACGCTTCAGGTTTATAATATGCAGTCACTCACTGCTCCGGCCACACGCGTAAGGACATCTTCCCAGGTGGTGGAAACCAGCTGCCCGCTAGCATCCCTTACCATGGGCTGGGTCAGACGCTGCCTCTTCAGCCCATCATAAGCAAACCTTAAAGATGGTGACACCAGGCTAAGAATGAGTGTGTGTGAACCAAGACAGAGGTGTTTTCATATTAAAGAAGTCCCATTATGCCCCTTTTTACAAGATGTAAAATATAAGTCTCTGATGTCCCTAGAATGTGTATGTGTAGTTTCAGCTCTTTAAAAAAATGCCCCATATAGGCTTTCATCAAAACTTGGTGACTGTCACTTTAAATTCAAATGAGATTGTGCTCCCTGCTCTCTCATGTTTCAGCAAAGCGGTGGATTACAAAACAGAACTAACATTATTTCTGTGAATGCCAAAATAAGTGGTTCAGAAGAGACTACAATGTTCTATTATGCATCTTAAACCTCAACTTTTATAATGCCTCTTAGGCCCCGTTTACACTAGTGCGTTTTAGTTTTAAAACGGCGTTTTAGATCACAAACGATCCGCGTCCACACTAGCGTTTCACCTAGCATCTCTGAACATATCTCCGTCCACTCTACGCCACCAAAAACGTATATCACGTGACGATTCGCTCACTCTGGGCATGTGCGTTCTAGTATGAACAGAAAGCATACATCTCGCTCGGCATTTTGTTATTGTTAGTCAACAAACGCCGGTTAAACATTAAACGCGATGGCAAAGAAAGCAAGAGAGGTATTTTTGTGGACAGACGACGAGGTTGAGTTGTTACTAAACGTAACAAATGAATCACTGCATAATGGCGCCTAAAACAGACAATAGTGCAAACAACGCTCCCTTTCTGTGCCCATGTTGTTTACAGTACTGTCTTCCGGTAGCGTTAAAGCCATGTGTTATAGTCATGTGATAGGGACTTGACGAATAAGGGAAGGATACGCAATGACACAAAAGCCCCAATTAGGTAGCGAATCTCAGCAGCCCCGCCTCCGTTTTCAGATGTCTCAGTTTTTCCTCATCCACACTAAAACGGAGCAGCAGCGTTTTAGAATGAAAACGGCCTCTCTAGCGTTTTCAAAACGCCCCGTTTTCGGCGCTCGAGAACTCCGGCGTAGTGTGGATGGATGGTGTAAAAAACGAAAACGCATTAGTTTAAACGGGGCCTTAGTCGCTGACAATGTTTTCAGCAGGTACAGAGTGAAAACTTTTCATGGCGACAGCTGCTTCTCACTCAGAGCTGTCTAAGGGTGCTTTCACACCTACACTTTTGTTTCGGAACCGGTCTCGTTTGCCCAGTTAGCGTGGTTCATTTAGCATATGTGAAACCAGCAATCGCACTAGGATCCGCGCTCTGAGATCGCTTGAATGAGGTGGTTGAAAACGATTGAAACGAACACTGGAGCAGATCCCAGCGCAGTTATATCACAGTGTTTTATGGATATGTAATAAACATACGGCTATATGAAGAGAGAATTATGAGTAGGGCTGGAAGGAATGTGAGGAGAGTTTACTCACACGTGACTTGTTTTAGCTCTTTTGGTCCGTTTAGAAACTTTGCAGTGTGAAAGCGAACCGCTCCAAGAGCAACAATGCATAGATATATACACTAGATATCGCATAGGGACCCTCAGCATGCGTCAATAGCGCCGCCACATTGGTACAGTGCTCCCAGGACAAATGTCATTCAACCGCACTAGTCAAGACAGTGTTATTACGTAAAGATGCGGGACTTTAGCACTGTCTACAGGTGTAGTAACAAGAAAACAAAGCACAAAGGCAGAACATTTCATAGGTAATATTACGTTTTTTTCTGTTTATAAATGTTCTGAATTTTTCTGCTAAACAGGTAACGTTATTGATGATAATACAGTCACTTACTGCATTCATCATAAGGCAAAGTAGCTCCAACTCGCACTAAACACTCGGCTTATGCTAGTTTTGTTGAATAAAATCAGCAAACAATGCAAAAAAAATATGACAACGAGATGCTGCGCTGCCAGAAACTTGTATTATTGTCGGCTAACGTTAGTGAAAGAGTCGTTCGGAGAATTCATTCACAAACGAATCGCTCTCTCTGCGTCAGTATGAGAAGTGAAAGCAGGAGAGGAGGTGTGTTTCAGGACACAGATTATATTAAATTTAACAGGGAGGGTGAATGGTACATTTCTGTACACACAAACACAAGCTTGTTGTCAGGAATGCCCGTGCGGTCACTGATCCATCAATGTAGAAAAGTGATGTAAAATTATAATTTTCGTAATTAGAAAAAAAAAAATTACACACTAACATCCAGGAAAACTCCCGATTATAAATATATGTGTATATGTGTATATCTCTGGCTTTGGATGGCCACAGTCCTCCACTGTACCTTGGTCCCGAATTCATTTCAAAGGAGCGCTACCCTGTAGCAAGATGTCGGCGCTGTTGACGCATTCCGTCCAATAGACAACAATAGGCCAGGCGACATCTAGTGTATATATCTATGGCAACAATGTAACAATTTGAATCCCTGTTTTGAAACAACTGAATCGAATCACAGGTGTGAAAGCACCCTAAGATAAAGTGCGATTGTCACTAATGGTTGGGGCTTTCCCCCTCGAATGACATGGTTCCCGCTCTTTCAAAAACAGCAGATTTAAGGACATTCTTTCAAGGACATTTTAAAGCACCATTTATTGATAAAGTGTGCATTATTCACCTTATTCTCCGCATATGAGCAAGAGCAGCCATTTGAATCTTTTTACCTCAAGTCTTCCGGTCTCATTCTCTTCCATTCATTTTTAGATGCTAAAAACAGCTTGTTTTGCTGCTTGATGTCGCAAACTGATATTTTCTTATTATGTTATTCTACTTTGTCTGTATTGTCATGCAAACGCTTGTTTGTAGAGCGAGTTGTCTTGACTGTTTTCTGCCGTTAATTATTCCTAGTCATTTCTCCCATAGGTAACTCAATCGGAAGTTCCAACACAAATCGCAAAAACGAGCGCACTTCAGCATTGAAGAATAAGGTCAATAACATTGAAATATATTTTTAAATCAAACATTTCAGTTATTTTTTGTTTTTGACAGCAGCACAGTACAACTGTTGAAATAACACTATAAACAAATTTGGCAGAAAAGCGTTTGTTAAGAACATTTTTTACCCGAGAGCATTTCTCATCTAAGGTGAGATCCAGATTTGCTGCTCATCTCCTTTAAAAAAGACGCAGCTCCAGTATGTGTTGATTATCCTGTCTACAGATTCGGTAAGTGTATGCGATCAGCGCCCTTTCTTTATTCATTCAGATGGCAAAGTTATAGTTGGTATGGTCAGCTGTACTCTTTCAGTGTTTAAAGACAGACCTTAGTCAAAATGACTTCTGAGTTACTTAGTTTACAGTATGTTAATATCACTACAATATTGAAAGATCCGCTGTAAATGGTGCTCTTTGAGTGTAAACACGTGAACACTAAGCAAACTTTTTCCGATCGTCGTGTTGAATTTTCACCGCATTTTGTGACAGGACAGTCTACACACACACGGCTTTCTGACCCCCTGAGTGCATCTGAGTTACAGAGAAATGCAGCTTTTTTCTCTTATACGATGTGCGGTATCAAACATCCCACCGTCATTAAACAAACTGTCTACCCTGCGTGTGTGTTTATTTGTACTCGGTCAGAAGCGCGTGCTCAAATGGCAACTCCCATTTTTATTCAAACCCTGCCCATTTTTATTTAAACCCTGCCCAATTTTCCTCCCCCGACACTCCCACCCAAACAAAGCTAGACACACCCACTTTCCTGACTTTTTCCAAACTAGAGGTGTGAAAACATCCTGCTGATACGGGGGGGTTTCATGGCCCTTTAAACTTCTTTAAACCCCTTATAAAGGTGTCCTTTTTATAATAGGTCCCCTTTAAAAGAGCTCATGCGCTCACCTGGTCTTGTCAGATATCCATTCCTCATTGACATCTTCATTCATGCGGGGCAGAATTCTCATGACTTCACCACTTCTGGTGCTCACCACAATGTTGGAGCCAACAGCATCCAGCACGTCGATAGACTCGGTCTTTCTGTAGACACGTGAGAAATGCATGTTTAAAGAAACAAATGCTCAAAAATGTAAGCAAACCCACTGTTAAAATATCATATAATTCACAACTAAAAGATAAAATTTAACAAAAGAGCACACAATCCAATCCTCGGATAGTACCTGGTCTCCCAGGGTCTTGCAGTGAAGGCATATGGTTTAGATGTCAGTGCTCCAACAGGACACAAGTCGATTATGTTTCCAGACAACTCAGACATGAACATCTTCTCCACGTAGGTACCAATCTGCATGTCGTTACCACGTCCTGTGGTTCCCAGATCCTCCACTCCAGCAACTTCACTGGCAAAACTGCAAAGATACAAATAAAAATAATTCGATTTTGTACAAAAAGATGCATGACCAGTGCCAAGTTATTGTATAATGATGGTTTGTTCTGTAGACTATCGAAAAAAGTATACCTTAAAGGGGTAATACTTTTATCCTTAAAATGGCTTATAAAAAATTAAAAACTGCTTTTATTCTAGCCGAAACAAAACAAATAAGACTTTCTCCGGAAGAAAATTTATTATCACACATATTGTGAATATGTCCTTGCTCTGTTAAACATTATTTGGGAAATATTGTAAAAAGAAAGAGGGGGGAGGGGGGGGCAACATTTACTTCAACTGTATATTTGTTAAGTAGCATTACATACAATATATAAGCCATAAGAAAAACACTGGAGAATTATGAAACTTAAGGACCAAAAGTACATGCTGATATTTATATGGCAAAAGATGAGAGGAAATTCTAATAGCTTATATTGTAAATGAATGAGATCTACTAAAAGAGTGTTGCAGTCCTGTATGTGTGAATGTAACATGTGTACTATTATTGTTATTATTTATTATCAAATAATAATTATCACAGAGTATGTACAGGAATCAGAGTGAAATTCAATACATTTTAAGACCTTTTTAAGACTCTTTCAATACATTTTAAAACCTCTTAGCCACTTCAACTGGTAACACTGGCGACATATTTACTTTACTTTATTTACTAAATACTGATTGTAAGAAACTAATCCTAAACTAAAACATTATTTATATACTGAATAAAATGCTGATCCAGCAGGTGGCGCCTAAAACAGCAGGAATAACGGTGTTGCTTTGGTTACTGCAGTAACAAAGCAGCTTGATTTCAAGTCTAGAAGGATTTTATCGATGAACTACACAGCATCCCAATACTCGCAGATAAAATTCAGGCACTTTAGCTTTAGCATACAACTGTACCTTGTATAATCAAAAAATACTGGCTCTTAAAGGGAATGGGAGATGAGACTCTGATTGGTTTATTCTCAAAACACACCTAGAACTCATTAAGAAAATAAACTCAACCCTTTTAGACCATGCGCCTTGGCGCAAAGCGGATTTTTCCGTCCTTAAATTAGCAAAAGTGGATTCTGACACACCCTGAAAGTGTTTGCTCCCTGTGTATTGGGCTTTGTGCATGGACCGTCAAAATAGAGCCCTTTGTGTATATTTGATTGGAATTTGATCATAATTCCCAAACGTGAAATATGATTTATACAAATCAATTTTAAGCTGCATTCATAATGCACGTGTGTTTTTATGCCAAGTAAAATAAAAATCCAAAGGGCTATTTGTAGAAAGCATGCTGAATGTCTTTACAGATTCAAGGTTGTGCTGTTGCAAATTGCCAGTTGAGCAAAAATGTATAATATATTACAAGTCAGCATGGTCTGCAGACTCTGCACACCTCTTTAATTGTTTAGAGAAAAAGCGCATACCAGAATCATCCCTACAGCTGTAAAAATCAAGTGCAATTTCAGCATAATGTATTGCATGTCAAGTCGCTGTTATTTTTTTAAGCGCATGCAAATTACATCTGAACATTTGGGATATTATAGTATAGACAGTCAATCATTTAGATCAGATTTCCATCTAATACACATGTAATAAGTTTTAAACCGTAAATGTAGCTAAAAGGGATAATTCACAAAAAAATAAGAACATTTCCTAATCATTTACCCACTCAAGCGATTTTCTTCTTCTGTTATACACAAAACAAGATATTCTGAAGAATGTCTGATGACATCAGCCATTGACACCCATGCTAGGAACCCAAAATACAACGGAAGTCAATAGCTGTTTCAGTGTATCTTCCTTTGTGTTCAACAGAAACTCTTCAGAAAGACTTCCAACTCACCGAACACAACGGGTGCACTGTATACAGCGAGTCATGATTGTTTTGATGAGCGGCCCGATGTTCTTGTCTTCCACTGCCCTCTTGCCTTCAGTAAAGCGGCTTCTGTCTGTGCCGAACATCATCGACTGGTCCTGTATATCCAGCACAACAAAAAGATGATTAAAGAAATGCATCAAGGATGATTCCATTTTCCAGTCTCTTAGACGAATGTCAACAGTGCTTTTCTGACCTGCAGATCACACTCTCCTCCCTGATCACAGATTGGACAGTCAAGAGGGTGGTTGGCAAGCAAGAACTCCATGACTCCCTCTCTATCCAAGACAAAAAAATAATACAAACGCATTGAGACGCATGATAAAAACTCTGTTTTATTGACCTTATTCTGTAATGAGAAACTGCGCTCGTTTTTGAGATTGTTTTAGTTGCCTATGGGAGAAATGACAAGGCATAATAAACGGCAGAAAACTGTCAAACTACTTACTGTACAAACATGTGCTCATGACTATAAATAAAATGTGGAATAAGAAAATAGGAACATATCAGTTTGCAACATCAAGCAGCATAACAAGCTGTTTTTAACATCTAAAAATCAACGGAAGGGAATGGGACTGGAAGTCTGGAGTCAAAAAGATTCCAATGGCTGCGCCTGCTCGTATGTGAAAAACAAGGTCAATACCCATTTTATTTCTCCTGAACATCTCAATGCTTTTTTTTTTAAATGGCGACACTATTTCTAATATTCACACATGCTTTTGACTGAATATCAGCATTTTTGAGATGTCAGTCTAAATCTTTCCGTTTGTAAAATAGTGATCTATGTTAATTTTGTTATGTTGTATATCGAAGTTTATGAAATGATTGTTTTTGTTTATGAGTAAAAAGATCAAATTAGACCTGCGGGATAAGACTGACATCCAAAAACTGGCACAGATTTTTTATGGCTTAGCCTACATTTACATTTAGTCATTTAGCAGACGCTTTTATCCAAAGCGACTTACAAATGAGGACAAGGAAGCAATTTACACAACTAAGAGCAACAATGAATAAGTGCTATAGGCGAGTTTCAGGTCTGTAAAGTCTAAAAAGGAAAGTATTAGTAGTATTAGAATTTCTTTTTTTTTTTTTTTTTTTGGGTACAGTTAATGTGATATTCAGAGGCAATTGCAGATTAGGAAGTGAAGTGGAGACTAAATAGTTGAGTTTTTAGTCGTTTCTTGAAAATAGCGAGTGACTCTGCTGTTCTGATGCAGTTAGGGAGTTTATACATTTTATACATTAAAATATACATTTGTATAATTTCTAACTTTTAGTTTTTATTATTTAGACCTACATGAGTGAAATCCATTAATCTGCATTTACAGTGTTATTAACAAGCTCTGTCTTCAATTTTAATAAGGGCAATTGAATATATTTCATTATTAATGACAATGTAAAAAAATATATAAATCATTAATTATATTGTAATAAAGTCATAATTAGCATATTGGTCGCACTTTATATTAAGGTTTCAACAAATTATTAGATTGGATAATGTGCTTCTATTAGGCCCTAATATAATTTAAGCCAAATTACTTACCGAAGAACTAAATCATGCCAAGATAAATTTAATTTAGAGTTTTTTCAGGATTTTAAAATGGGCAAAGTGAAGCTGGTAAACATTACGTGTGATTGGACGCATTTTACAACAAGCTTCCATCAGTTAATGTCTGTTTATACATTTGCTAACATGAACAATCTTTTACAGCATTTTTTAATCCTAATTCAACATTTCTCTTACTAACATTAGTTAATATACTGTGAGTTACCAAGAACAATCAATGAACAACTTTATTTTCATTAACTAATGTTAACAAAGACGATTAAATGCTGTTTTAAATGTGCTGTTCAATGATTATTCATGTTAGTAAATATATAAACGAAGATTAACTAATGGAACCTCGTTGTACAGTTAACCAAAATCCTACAGAATGTTTACCAGCTTCACTTTGGCCGTTTAAAAAGATTAAATTAGACCTGATTGACGTCCAAAACCTGGCACAAATTTTCATGGATTAGCTGACATTTGTATAATTTCTGACTTTTATTTTTTATTATTAAAACCTACATGAGTGAAACCCTTTAATACGTATATACAGTGCTGTTATTAAACTAGGTCTTCAATTTAAATAAGGGCAATTGAATATATTTCATTATTAATGACAATGTGAAAAATATAAATCATTAATTGTATTGTAATAAAGTCATAATTAACATCTTGGTCACACTTTACATTAAGGTTTTATTAGTTTCATTTACTTTACATTAAGGTTTCAACAAATTTTTGGTGTATAATGTGAGATTGGATAATGTGCCTCTATTAGGCCCTAATATAATTTCAGCTAAATTGCGTACCAAAGAACTAAATCATGCCAAAATAAAAGTTAATTCAGAGTTTTTTTTAGGATTTTAAAATGGCCAAAGTGAAGCTGGTAAACATTATGTGATTTTGGTTATGCTTTACAACAAAGTTCCATTAGTTAATGTTAGTTTATACATTTACTAACATGAACAATCTTGTACAGCATTTTTAATCCCAATTCAAAATTTCCTTACTAACATTAGTTAATATACTGCGAGTTACCAAGAACAATCAATAAACATCTTTATTTCTATTAACTAAGTTAACAAAAGACGTTTAATGCTGTCATAAATGTGCTGTTCAGTGATTATTTAATGTTAGTAAATATATAAACAAAGATTAACTAATGGAACCTTGTTGTCAAGTTGACCAAAATCATACAGAATGTTTACCAGCTTCGCTTTGGCCATTTTAAAATATCAAATTAGACCTGGGGGATAAGATTGACATCCAAAAACTGGCTTGATTTTCATGGATTTGCCAACAATTGTACAATTTCTGACTTTTTTTTTATTTATTAAAACCTACATGAGTGAAATCCTTTAATCTGCATTTACAGTGCTGTTATTAAACCATGTCTTCAATTTAAATAAAAATTAGGGAAAATTGAAGTTTAATGACAATCAAACATTTTTAATTCATTAATTATATTGTAATAAAGTCATAATTAACATCTTGGTCACACTTTACATTAGGGTTTCAACAATAAATGTTGCTGTTCAATGATTATTCATGTTACTAAATATATAAACAAAAATTAACTATTGGAACCTTATTGTAAAGTTACCAAAATCACACAGTATGCGTGATTTCTAGGGGTGTAACGATACACTCAGCTCACGATACGATGTGTATCACGATAAAATGTTCACAATTCGATATGTATCACGATATTTGGAATAAAAATTGAAAATTAAACTGAAATGCAAATTTTACCAAGTAAACTATTTTTTATGTATTCTTTTGTTTCAACTTGTTAAACTGACCTTCTTTAAGGAAATAAATTAAACAGGCCTGTCTCTGGAAAATAAAACAATTTAAAAACTTCTCAAAAATATTATTGAAATGACAGAGACAAAATTAAGGAAAAATTTAAGTAAAGGTGCAAAAAAAATAAGCTTTCCATTCAATTGAATTTAACAGTAAGAGCTTAAGGCTTTGCTTGTTCACTTGCGTGTTTTGTGTGTGCAAAAAAAAATCCACATTTCCAGGTATTTAATTCATATTTAATTAAATTCATTTAGAGATATCTGTAATTACAATTGTGACTAGTCAAAACTCATTTAGAGATATCTGCAAATATTTTTCAATGGAAGTCAATGGAGGAATATGACTAGTCATAATATATTTGCAGATATCTCCAATCTGATTTCGTACTAGTACAATTGTAATTGCAGATATCTCTAATTGTCGTTCTGACTAGTCGAATAATTAGAGATATCTCTAAATATATTTATGGATAGTCAGAACAAAGGTTTAAATGCTAAAACGGCTTGCCATACGCGCGCGTCTATCAAAGTCCGCCCTCTGTAGTAACAGCTCACGGTCAGCTCACGTCATGTGTGATTTTGCGGCGGGAACCTTATATGAAGACAGAATGATATTGTAGGGTGAATTGTACCTTATAAATACAGTATGTGACTCTTTAAACACCATTAGGAGGTATCCCTGTCGCTGTGCAAAGTATGTAAATCACTGTGAAGACTTTAAAACTTAGGATGTTTGACCCAGTATGCGTGTCAAAAAGCAGACGAGTCTAAAGCAATGACTGTACAACCGAAATGTTGCCAGACGTCTGATTTTGATGGGCCATCCTCTATTTCAGCTCCACTCATCTTTGTCTGCTAACATTACTGCTGCTGCAATCTGAACTCACGTGCGACAGCAGGTGGAACGTAGCTCACGTGCAAACAGCTCAACTATTAAGAGAAAACGGACGTCGTATCGTAATGAAATCGTCATAACGCCACGATGCATATTGTGACATTTTTGCATCGCAATAAATCGTACAACGATAAATCGTTACACCCCTAGTGATTTTGCTTTGGCCATTTTAAAATCCTGAAAAAACTTGAAGTTAACTTTATTTTGGCTTTTAATTAGGCTCTTCGGTATGCAGTTTAGCTTAAATTATATTGGGGCCTAAAGGAGGCCCATTATCCCATCTCACACCATACACTAATAATTTGTTGACAGCTCTGTGTGTTTTGCAAATATCTTTAAAGCAGGCAACCACACAAACCTGGCTTTACGCGTTTTCTCTGAGTTGGTCAAAATGTTCCATCCTTTCATGACTGGCATTGCACATGCAGCAACAGGCTGTTGATGAAGAACAAATGGAGAAAGCAATGTATTTTGATGACAATCTTGAATATGTGCGAGCAATAATGTCATACTCATAGTGCGTTCGATGACGCATATTACCTTTGGCGCTCTTTCGATCTCAACCAGACACATACGGCAGTTACCGGCCACTGACAGACGATCATGATAGCAGAAACGAGGAATCTGCACACCAACTTTCTCACAAGCCTAAACACAATTAGCACGTGAGAATACATGAAATGAACAATTACTGCATAAACCTAGGCAAAAACTTATATCACAATTAAGTAATCTCATATCCTGAGATAAGGTGTATGTGTGTGTATGTGTGTGTGTGTGTGTACATTACAAGCGGCAACCTCCCGCTCTCCCTCATAAAAGCCAATACGGAAGTAACTAAAACTGCAATTCATCCGAAATTCCGCTAGTCCTGGCCGTTCCTGGCTCCAAAATAGAGCAAATTTTAATTGAGCCCACTGTTAGAATGGCCAACTTTACAGCAGAAAAAAAGGTGTTTACAGCCTGGTACAAAAAAAGATTTTGGTTAATACAGCTAATATTACCCTTCATGACAACTGTGAGGGGGGTGAATTTTTTTATAACTCATCCGTTTCCTTTATATTAAGTTATATTAAGTTTGCATAATTAAGGGAGTGGCCACTTGAGTGACAGCTAGGTCTCGTTTAGTTGCCGTCACCTCACCTCAGCTGAATCCTGCAGATTAGCCACTGATCTTGGCATATTCATCGTATTTCTGTGTTGTTTTATGTGGCTTTACACAGTCAACTGCCTTTTGTACTTGTTTCCTACAATTATTAGATGGCATGGCATGCTTAGTGAACTTAATTGTGCTCACAAACCATTCACGTGGCCTCCGTTTCCCATGTGAGTAAAGTTATATACCATCTCTATACATTTATTTGTTTTATTTAAGATCATTTATCGTTTATATTTATATTTAGAGCTGTAATGCACTCCAGAATCTGTCAGATTGATTAGCTGTAGGCTCTAGAACAGTCATCTGAAGCGTTGTCATACAGTGTTATGCTGGATTTTATCAATAGTCTTACAGTAACTAACACAGACTATATCTGAAGTGTTTGGAAGTAACTCGCATTTTCCTCCTGTTGAAAAACGTCATAAGAACAATGTTTAGTGGCTCAATGTATTACAGCAGTGTTTTTAAAAGTCTAAACACTTTATTGATATAGTGTACAACCAAGCACAAGTGGTCAGAATACAAACGAGTCACAGGTGGTAAAGTATTAAGCGTTCTCCCAAAGTAAACCAGGTGTCTGAACCAGGTCCAAGCTAAATGCCAGCAGGTGTCTGTAGTTCCGCTCACTCTCCGCCTCTTTGCCCTTGTTTGGTATCCCTCCGTGGGTGTGATGACGCGCAAACAAAATGGCGACGGTTGGCCGCGCCTACTTGTGGCTTCTTTTGCGCTCTTTAGAAACCTATCGGTGACGTCACAGATACTACGTCCATATATTTTACAGTCTATGTTACACTATATAGCTCACATGTAAATAACTATTTCTTTTCTACATTTTAAAGTATTTAGTATCATTATTTAAAGTATTAAGTAGGGCTGCACAATATATTGTTTCAGCATCGATATCACAATGTATGTATCTGCAATAGTCACATCACAGGATCTGCAATGTGATGTTTGAAAATAAAAAAAACTCAAATCTAATAGTGTGAAATACGTTTTAATGTAATTTTAAGCCCAGTGTAAGATTTCAAGCAAATTTAAACAATTTGGACACATGAAATACTAAAGTTTGTCACTTTAACAAAGATGAATTGTTTATTTATAAACTGAAGACTATACAGTGTTCATTTACATTTGATCTTTGTGTTTCTGAACCTCAATTGTGTTAGACTCCACCAAAAACTATGAAGCGCTGTTGATTTCATTTTTATCTTTGTTCTATTGTTTTCATCTGTGCTTTATTTTATTTGGCGTATTTTAGTATCATCATTTTGTATATTTTTTGCAGATGCACTCTCCTAAAATTATAAATAGTTTCCAAACAGAGTTACTCAAGTCATCTGGTTAAACTATATTCAAATGACAATATATCTTGCAGAAAATCTGGTTGTCGCAATGTTCAGTTTTTTCAAATCTGCTTGTTAAGTGTGACATCACACGTAGCGGCTTCCAGGTCCAAGCGCTCTATTCAACTGAATGGGGAGACACATGAAATGGTAATAATAAACGTTTACAAAGCGATTTAATACTTTCGAAAGTCACGATCGCAATATATATGTCCATGCCTAATATCCGATGGCCAGAAAGTGATTCATTGTTTTATAAATTGTTAAAATTTTGGTATTTGTTATGCAGCAAGCCCAGGGATTGTTGTGTACACTATGACTTTATGTAAAATTAACTTTAATGTGTGATAGGAATAAAACACGATAATAAACAAATGATTTCTTCACTCAAATGAATGGCGGCTTGAACCTGGAAACAGTATACATACGTCACAAACACGTCACCACTTAACAAGCGGATATTGTGCAGCCCTAGTATTAAGTATCAAAAATGCACTCACTCTTACACAATAATTTTTCTCAGTTTATTTAGAACTTTAGGGCAAATGTTTGATTAATAATGTCAAAATATATTATTTAATATTAATAAAATATAAGACACTTTTCAAAAGCTGCTTGTTATAGTCAAAAATAAAAAGAATGAAATATTGCTAAGTAAAACACTAAATGTAAACATAACACCGCCATGTAATATTGCACTCATGTAAATTATGAAAAAGTATTACTGTAATCAACATATACTTTTTATTGTATAATGTGTAGTGTGAAACATTATATATAGTCATATTGCGTAGTCCTAAATTAAAAAAAATATTCAAAAGAAATGCCAGCTGTAATATTACCTGTAGTACAGTGGTTCCTGGCTCCACCATGACAGGTTTACCATCTACAAACACTTCAACCATATTGCTCGCAGCCCGGACGGAGGTCCGTACTGTCGTAAAAATAAACAAATGTGAGCAAAGACTTACAAGAGAGTAAAGTTGCCTAGTACTCCTAAAAAAAACAGCACCTTGAATTTGAAAAGGCAAAAAGAAGAGACGTATAGAGCAAATTACCATTGTTGGTTGTGGCAATGGAGCCCTTGGAATGAGCTGCCAAAGCCCGACTTACAGCTGGCAAACGCAACATGTCGCTGTAGGAGAAAATGCCAAGTGATTAGAAGCAAGTTGATCAGAACATTATCTAGGTTAACTATGGATAAACATGCCACTGTAATTTAAAATAGAAGGACACTGCAGTAAGAAGCCAAAAAAAAAGAATCCTAATCATCAGAACTTATGTAGGAGAATTACATTAATAATTATAAATTAATCACATTTAAAACAATACATGGTGCTGACACTGACATAAGAATTCCCATGATTAGAATGACAAAAGCCAACATTGTATAACAGCAATATAACAAATTATTTGCACTCTAAAAAACAAAGCACAATATTTATAAAATAACATGTTAAGATTCCATCTTCATTAAATGCAAATTAAACATGTGAAAGCACTACTGTTGACATTTCAATCTGTACACACACTGGTTAGCAGGCTAGCACTGCTGCACTGTAACGTTAGCTTAGTCAAGGACAGGGAGAACGTTACAGTGAATTACCCAAGTTTACTATGCATTTAAAATGCCAGCATTTATTCACAAAGCAAACATCTATACATAACTCTTTTAACACTTTAGTCTACACTAAAAGCAATATTTAAATCTCACCTTGACGCTATTTGGCCTTCTAGACCAGAACAGCGCTACTGCCGTAGGTTCGGTTATGAGTGTATACTCGGGAGATTTCGGAGACGACGGAAATACCCGATGTACATTTAGCTTTGAAAAAAAATGCAAAAACATTTTATTCGATTATTTTATTATAAATTATAACAAATCCACAATAATTATATTTAAAAATATAGTTATATGTGACTTTTTTACATTAACAATCCATCATATTTTGTTGACCTTTTAAAATTGTCATCGTCATTTCCGCTCATAAAAGCGGTCGTTTCCTTGTCTTATGTCACATTAAAAGCCAACCAATTTACATCTTTTACGGTTCTTATCGAGTCTATAAAAACATGAAAAAATTATCTAGCGATTCTTATCGTTCATAAAAAATAAATTTAACTTATCGCCCGCAAACGAAGGCCGAAAATGTCTTATTTATGTACAAATGTATCCGTGTAGGAGGAGTCACGGCGTCAGACGTATAAAGACCATCTCACGTTCCCTTCTCGTTCCTTCGCTCTTCCTCCAAGCCCAGGACTCCACGTCTGTACACGAGGCCTCACCGGTAACTTCTCACAATGGGCTTTGGTGATCTCAAAACACCCGCTGGACTCAAAGTCCTCAACAACTTCCTTTCAGACAAAAGTTACATCGAAGGGTAAGCTTTTTAAAGGGTTTATTTATAAAGTGTTCTTCATAGCCTCCCAACAACTCTTATTTTTTCGATATGCAGCAGCTGAAATATTAAAATAGCTCCTGGATGCATATCAAATTATTAAGTTCTCTGAATAAATTTAAATAAGGATTCTAATTAGGGGATTTTTTTGTAAATATGTAAAATGTTATATTCTTTGTATACATGTACCCCTCCCCCAATTTTATTGTGGTAAAGTTGGTTTTATATTGACACATTCTGATTTTCTACTTTAATATTTTCATAAAAGTATTGCAAATTCTTAATAGAAAAATCATAATAGCAGCCAAAGATTTTCAAAAGCGTTATTCACGGTCAAATAAAAGCTGCTAATGTTGATTTGTAAGTCATACTTGTATGCTATTTCTGACCGAATATTTAAAGTAGCATAGTAAACAATAGTCATAGGGACTGTCACAAGTTGCCAGTGAATAAATTTGTGAATATGAAACCAACTTTACCTCAATGCCAAATTTTTGTTGGGCGACACAATTTAATGTTGCGTATTCTGTTCATAAACCTGTAACTGCTCATAAAGGAAATCAATATTATGTTTATATATTTGATTGAATGCTGATTTTCCTGTCCTCAGGTACGTACCCTCTCAGGCTGATATTGCAGTGTTTGATGCTTTGTCCGGTGTCCCATCTGCTGACCTCTGCCATGCTTTGCGTTGGTACAACCACATCAAGTCTTTCCAGAAGGAGAAGGGCAGGTAATGTTCAATATTAATGCTATATTTACCATTTTCCAAGTACTTCCCCTAACACGTGATGATTATCCTAACACCATCTTTCGCCTGAGTGACTGATGCACAATTCTTTAATCTCTGATTGGTGTGGGAAATGTATGACCATCTCAACAGGTACACTCTTTTTAACATGAATTCAGTCTTCTCTTGTGTTCAGCCTTCCAGGTGTAAAGAAGCCTCTCGGTCAGTACGGGCCTGCCGGCATGGAGGACACAACTGCCGCAGCTCCTGCCGCGGCTGATGAAGACGATGATGACATCGATCTGTTTGGCTCCGATGAGGAAGAGGTCAGTTTGGTTGCTGAGCTGATTGTGTTTTCACACACTTGCCTGGTCATGTGATGATTTATCTCACCATCTTTCGACTGATGCCGTGATGGATCTCTTTTATTCCTGAATACCAGTTAAAAGTGTCCAAGCACCCACAGGTATTTCTGCTCATGGCTAAACTTGGATCTCTTTATGTTTACAGGATGAGGAAGCCGCAAAGATCAAGGAGGAGAGGCTTGCAGCTTACAACGCCAAGAAGGCAAAGAGTATGTGTTTTGTATGTGTGAAATCATACACTGCTGGTCGATTTTGGAAAAAGCAATTATGTTTTGAAGTTTATTTCATGTCCACCAAGGCTGAATTTTTTTTTTTTTTTTTTTTTTAAGCAAAATTATTTTTTATTTCAAGAGTTCACACTTGGATAATGCTCTGCTATAAAAGCAGGTTTGGTATGCTGTCCTGGGAGAGAACCCTGAACTCTGAAAGATAGATGAGTTATTTATATATATATATATATATATAAATCGATTCAGTACATATGCGTTAAGTGCTTGTGACTGTGTTATTACAATTCGCTTATGCCACGTGTTTTTAGACCGTGGGAGAAAACCAGAGTACTCACAGAGAAAACCCACGCGAACATGGAGACAACATGCAAACTTCGTGCAGAGTGCAGACTGGCTCAATTAGAACTTGAACCATTGGCCCTCCTGCTGCAAGGCAGCAGCACCAGCCACTGAGCTGATGTGTCGTCTGATCCTAGAATTAAGAAGGAGGGATATAGGAAGGATAGAGGAGGTGGGGTTTCAAAACGAAGATTGGGAATGAAGTTTAGGCTGGATATTCATAGTAATTTTGAAATTATCTGATAGGCTAGCTAATGATTGGCGATATGGACCAGGGGCCTCATGTACGAAGACTTGCGTGGAAATCTTACTAAAACATTGCGTACGCACAAAGCTGTAAATGTGTGTACGCAGAAAAAAATTCAGATGTATGAAACACTGCGTACGCCGAATCTCACGCATATTATTTTGTACATCCGAATGAACGTGAAACTGAGCGCAACATGCACAAGCACAAAACCCCTCCCTGCCTCCTCCCCTGTATGAATATGCTAATGACTCTACTTTGGCAAAACCCAACGAAAAAGCAATGGAAAAAGCAAGCAAAAAGAGAAACTTTGAACAGAATGTGAATTGGAGGTGCTGCTTTCGGAGGTAGACCGGAGAAAAGCGGTGTTATTTGCAAGTTTGTTCTCCAGAATTAACAACAAAAGAAAAAATAGAGTGGGAGAGTTTAACTGATGCGGTTAACACAGTTGGGTCTGAACATCGCACTGAGTGCATCAAAGATAGAAATAGTGTGGTTTATAGGTGTAAAATGTTGCGTTTCCCTTACCAGTATCAGTGGCGCACCTTGTAAGACGCATGTGATCATGAATAGTTCCGTTCGAGCATGAGCTCGGCTCGAATCCAGCGTCTGATGAATTCTTTCTTGTTTTTTCCCCCGCAACATATCAGATTTTGCCCACTATTTATCACGAGAAAGACAAGTAGGAATCATCAATAAGTTCATATCAATAAGCATCATATTTTATTTGCACATTTATTGAATGGAAATGTTTCTGATTCACCCATGCAAATTCATCTTCAGATAGTGTCTTTATAGCAATGTGCGTGCGGTAGATCGCTCAGATTACATTGGGAAAACAGGCGACTGCTGCAAATTGTGCTTTAATGTTTGGCTGGTCAAATGTATGGTATGGAAACCTTATATACCTGCTGAACCCGTCTCATACAGCTGCCATTGCAAGGCTCAGACACTTTGTAGAGAGGAATTTAACACAACTGCCTCTAGGAGTCGCCAATGGAAATAAAACATACACGCACAAAAAATGTGCGTACGCCTGCCAGAAAGCTGCCGTGAACCTGCGCACATTCCCACGTTCAGTTCATTGTTAGTAAATCCAAACGTGAGCGATTCTGATCGTGAAACCTGGCGTACGCAAAGTTTTTGTGCGTACGCAGCGTTGATACATGAGGCCCCTGGTGTAGTCAATCATATCACATGCCCCTGGTGAAATTCGTTGTTGAAACTTCCCTTTGTTGGAAGTTGTTCGAGTGAAGCTGCGGTCACACTGGGCTTTTCCTCCCATAGACTTCCATTCATACGCACGCAAATCCGTCAGACCGGAAACGCAGGGCCATGCGTTAAGTTTTGCAGCTTGCTGTGGTGCAAAGTTTAAGCTTGGTGAATTCTGACCTGCGAAATCGCTTCACTTGACTGCGTGAGACCAATCTAGGATCAAAACATGACCTCTCTGGACAGAAATTTAAAACATGGAGCATTTGCTTTTTTTTGTGTCTAATCATCTTGTTTAATCCTGCCCTTTTCCGCACCGCCATACGACAGAATTTTGCACACACAAACTCTAGTGTGACCGTAGTTTTAAGGAACTGTTTTCATGTTGAAAATGTACATAATATAATGTAGGATATGCATAATAGCCGATGGTACAAATGTGCTGCTTTTAATTATGAGAAAATCATCAAATCCAAAAAGTAAATAAAATATATAGTGGCAAAAATGGTTACTTGATCATAACAGATGAATTCAGGGATTCCAATGGGTCAGGGAATTTCTGAAATATCCTAGAAATGTCAATGTCCATTCCAGACATCAAAACTCAAGATTTTTTTTTCTCAATTCATGGTATATCAGTAGATTTTAGTTTATCTATTTAAATAGTAGTTTTCTTATCAAATTTTATATACATTTACCATCCTTTACTATCATTTCATGTCTTGTCTTTTTATTTAAAGGGTTATTTTTAGCTTTATTTTATTTTCATCAACTGGCGTTCACTTACTGTAAGTCAAATGTAGTTGGGATAATATACATTTTTAAAGCTTTGAGGAAATGACTACAATAAAGGTGTTCAAGTAAATGACAGAAAAACAATGTAAAGTTTGTGAATCAACCATTATTGAGCTATTAAATGTTGGAAAGGTAGCACTTTGCAGCCATGCAAACACGAATACTTGAGATTGTTCAAAATGTGAGGTATATTGTCTGTTGTTCTCATAGTGGAGAATGATGGATGAGTGGAGAATGATGGATGGATGGATAAAGATAGAAAAAAAATGCCTTGGTGAGCATGAAAGATTTCAGAAACACAAAATTGATTCTGAATTGTTGACTGGTGGTGTGCGTGTATTAAAACATTGTGACTAGTTCAGTGATGATTTCTTATAACCATCTTTCGGCTGAATATGGTGATCGACACACTCTTATCTGATGTATTACTAGTCATTTAATTGTGATCATTTGAATTTCATTAGTTTGCATTACCATTTACGCTGTCTTCTCTCTTGTAAAGAGCCTGCACTTATCGCCAAGTCTTCCATTCTGTTGGATGTCAAGCCCTGGGATGATGAAACCGACATGGCCAAGCTTGAGGAGTGCGTCCGCAGCATTCAGTTAGACGGTTTAGTCTGGGGACAGTGTAAGTGACAATTTATAGTTCATCTCTTCAGTGCATTTTACCTTTTACTAAAACAGGTTTTCAAAAAGAGTGGCAGTTGTTTTACTTATTTGTCACTTCACTTTTTGATTTTCAGCCAAACTGTTGCCTGTTGGCTATGGCATCAAGAAGCTGCAGATCGCCTGTGTTGTAGAGGATGATAAAGTAGGAACAGACCAGCTAGAGGAACTGATCACAGCCTTTGAGGACTATGTACAGTCCATGGATGTGGCAGCCTTCAACAAGATCTAAAACCCCACAGCACAAAAGCATTAATCCAATAAAAGCACTTCAAATGCTTTGTTTGTCTGGTTTTATTTGTATTGTGTACCAATTATATTAAACAACATGCGGCTAGTACTTTTTAGGGTAAACTCTCTTTAAAGCTTTACATGTGAGGTTAGTCTAGTCAGTTGTTTGTTTGTATATTTATATATGCATGTTTTTCAACCAGTCGTTTATTATTTTTTTTGCAAAGTTCAGTTTAACGAGTTTGTATAGACTTTTTAATCTGAAGTAAATGTAGTGGCTTAGCTTCACTATGAGGGCTCCATTATAATACTTTACAGTTTGCCATATTTGTAATGTTACCATAAATTAAACCAGTCTATATTCTATAAAATGTAATTTTGAGGGGCGCGTTGAGTATAACATACAGCTCCATTGATTAAAATCAGCTTCAGACTTGTAGGGGGCGGATTCCCGCGCTTTGCTCTTACGTCACTCCACGAGCAGACCTCTGCTAAACACGGATACCGATGGGATCTAAGTGGAATAACCTCTGTAATCAGGTGACAGCACGTCGAAGACTGCAGTATATTTTTTTCATTTGTTTCGCATATGATGTTCAAATGACTAACTAATTTATATCACGGTCCTGCTGTCACAATGTCCACGTTGCAATGCTAAGTGTCACTAGCTCGCTAAGTGCACTAGCATAGCTGGCTAGCAGTACTGCAGTTTGTGTGTTGCTAAACAGCATAAGTTGCCTTAGCCCGCATTTAAAATGTAAACATTTTTAGAAACTCTTGAATTGAACGCGGATGTTTGTGTGGTAATATTGGGAAGCACCATTTAAATGGCCGCGGTTTTGTGTTTAGGCCGGTGAATGTGTGCTTGAGTAGTAAAAACTGGACAGTAAAGTATATATAATTTTCATAAGTTTATTATTTGCTTCTTTTAAAGTAATTTACTAGTTTTGTCATACCCTATTTAAGCTGCAAGCCATGTTTTATTCATGTATGTTTTGTTCATAACGTTTTGTGTAGTTCGTTTTAAAAGACTTTAACAGTTACCTTAAAATACAGCTTTTTTATTCTTGTTTATGTATACTGTATGTTTAGATGCGACTTCTAACTTACTACACGTGGCTGTATACATAAATGCGGTGATGTGACACGGTGCGAAAACACTTTCCGTCATCCTCTCTCCTCCATGTAGGTGAGTGTAAATATATTGCTCATTGGTATAACTTTTTTGAGCACTTTTCTATATACTGTGCTCCGCATAAACGAGTACATTTTTATCAATTTCTCAGTAAATATAGGCAATGTATTTTGGTGCATTTAAACAAGTTACATTTATTTTAATATTTTAGTCACTAGACATATTTAGAAATTGAAAGATAATACTATTAAATTCAAGCAAAAAAAAAAAAAGAAAACACAACCTACAGGGTTCATATGGTCATGGAAAACCTGGAAAAGTCATGGAATTTTGACATGGCATTTTCCAGGCCTAGAAAAGTTTTGGAGAAACAGAAAAACCCATAAAGTTTTGGAAAAGTCATGTAAATTAGTTTTACAAATATCAGTATACTTAAGTTAGGGTTGCACAATATTGGAAAAATCTGACATTAGGAGATTTTGTATTTCTGTGATATATATTGCGATGTAAACACAATTTCACCAGATGATTTAATAGGTTTATTTGGATTGATTGGATGGATTTTGTAGAGGAGTGTATCTCGAATAATATATAACAAATTAATTACAAGCATAGATAAATAAAATATTGCAAAGATAAAAGAGAATTATAGTTTTAGTTACAATTCACTCAAAGATTAAAATGTACTCACTATTTACTTACACTTCCTTTGTTTCAGTACTATAGGAGATATTAAATTATATTCTTTTTGTGTTTATTTTATAAAAAGAAAACTCATCATAGTTTGAAACAAGTGAAGGGTGTAATGAAAATGGAAAGTAATTTTTGGTTAAACTACCTCTTTAAAAATGCATGCAGAAGATAACTTTTACTCCATTATGATTAAACTCTATATTAAACTATAATCCCAACATTGCATATCCTGCGATGTGACTATTGCTGATACACACATTGCGATATCGATGCTGAAACAATATATTGTGCAGCCCTAACTTGAATGAAGGTTAGTTGTCTTTATTTCTTTTTCTGTCCTTATCCAAAAACTTGCTTTTATATTGTTTGTGCTGTGTAAGCATTATCAAAATCAATTTTACATAGAGATAAAAACAAAATAGATTGTTGTGTGTTCTATGATATGCTGTAATAAATTTGAACGTCATTGTTCTTCTTATTATTTATAATGTATATATAGACATTACATGAAACATTACATCATGAATATGTACTTGAAAGTTCTGGAAAAGTCTTGGAATTTTAGTTGTAAAAATGTGTATGACCCTGAACCTACAAAATTTCAACTAAATTTTTTATTTATTTTTTTGCTTCTTGATTTTTCCTTTTTTTTTAAATTTGTATTTAATAATTTTCTATAACATAAATTTGGGTGTACTAGTTTTTTGGATTGTTATCGTAAGTTATTTTGTTAGATAAGCTCCAGATTTGGCTTCAGTACTGACTAATCTAATGTATATGCACAAATATAATATTGTATAGCTTCCTATTAAAATATGAATTTAAAAGAGAGATTTGTAAGGGGTGTACTTATATATGCTGAGCACTGTAAGTGGAAATTATTTGTAAAATACACCATACACCAGTAGTTGCTAGTAATGATATTTTGTAATGTGCTCTTTCTCTGTTTTCTGTGTGTTATTGTGTAAAGACAGTACCATGCCCTTGGGGGAGGGACCAAAGCCGTCTGCTAAAAGTAAGTGTCTAATCTTAGATTAAAAAAAATCATTATATCTTGTTAACATTCAAGAATGTGCATTCAATTCTAATAAACAACATTTTAGCACCGATTTGATTAGTCGAATATTATCAAATGTCTGTGTAATTAGTGCCATGGACAGGTTGTGACACATATTCTTATATTTGCATTATAAACAAAACACTACTATTAAGAAAAACATTAGCTAAATAATCTACAGATTACATTCAATTTGCCTAATAGAAGGATAATGAGGAATTTTTAAGGTGGGTTTTAAGATTTGAAACAAGCAAGAATTTTAAGTATATTTCTCTTTAAGGTATAGTTCACCCAAAAATAAAAATTTCTCACCATTTTCTCAGTCTTAATTGGGTACAAAATGTTTGTTGTTGTAGCTGGAAGGACATTGGCTGTGTAAAACATATGCTGGAATAGTTGGCAGTTGATTCCGCTGTGGCGAATCCTGATAAATAAGGGACTAAGCCAAAAGAAAATGAATGATATGGAAAATGCATGTATGGACCTGTTTACACCTATTAGGATTAGGCATGGGCTAGTATAAGATTCCGACAGTATGATAACCTTGAATAAAAAATATCACGGTATCACAGTATTGTGATTACTACTTTAAAATACTGTAAGTTCTTTTTACATGTCTTGGTAAAAAACTAAAACTTGTCCCCCGTTGAATACAATATATTTTATTTTGAGAAAGATTTAAAATATTTTGGAACAGTAAACATGTCAGGATAAATAATTCAACTCAATTATTTAGTTCAAAAATACAGATTTCTTTACAATTTAAAATGGCATCTTTGGATATCTTTTTTGCTGGGAAAAAAAACGTAAATAAAAAAAATCCTACACATACCTTAGGAATGGTATAGCAGAAAATTCAGGTGGTTTTAATACCTTGACTTTTCTAAACCATGGTATACCTTGAAAATGGTTAATGTCCCATGCCTAATTGGGATGCATTGTTAGTAATCTGATTATAAGTGGACAACTCCAAATAAAGGTGTAAACAGTATTTGATACATCTTGAGCTGATCTATTGTCAACCACTTTTCTATTTTCAGAGTCAGTTGAAAATGCATTCAGCAGGATTGCTTTCATAGTGTAAAAGCGAATGTGGTAAAATGGATCAGCCAAAAAGACCTAACCTAATTCATAAACATTGTGGGATATGTTATTGAGGCACACTAACCAGACTACATTTAAACATCTAATTTTCAGTGAAATCATATATTGGGTTTGAAGGCAAAAATGGACAAACACAATGTTACCAGTCCCCAATCTTACACAATCCCACAGTGTTAGGCTTAGTTTTGTCATAGTTTTTGAAAGAGATCAGTCTCTGTCTGTAAATTCCACAAACATATTTTTAAATATTAGAGGGAAAAATTAGAAAAGTGTATACATCCACCCAGACCCTTCCCTCAAAGAAATCAGTCCAAAAGAGACAAACAACAACACCAGGTTTTAATATCTACTTATTAGCTCAACCTAATAGCAAATTTGTATTAAAATTGTAAAACCTAATAATTTATCATGTTGTAGATGCAGAGAGGCGTCCAACTGACATATCCGGCAGGTGAGTTTGTGTGAAAATAAATTCAACATTTGCAGCAATCCACTTGCCATTTGTTATTTATTCTCAGTATAAATATATATATATATATATATATATATATATATATATATATATATATATATATATATATATATATATATATATATATATATATATCATTTTTTATTTAATTTCAGATTTTCTCTTACTCTTCTTTTTACCCTATCTGCAGAACACGTAGAGAAGAGCCTGTGGCTGGTCCTTCCAGCTATCAAAGACAGGGTTACTGCAGCTGCTGTCAAGTTCTCTACAATAGTGTGGAACAAGTACGTAACTTTGTGTCATTTTATAGTTTTTCCCTTTTATAAAACTATTTTGGTCACAGTATACAGTGGGGTAAATAAGCATTGAACATGTCACAATTTTCTAAGAAAACATTCCTAAAGCTTTTGTTGACTTTTGAAATTTTTAGCAGATATTGGTGACAACCAAAGAAATTCATATGCAAAGAAAACAAAACTATTATTTTACTAATTAAATTAAGTGTAAAAAAATATTGAAAGGTAATGAACACATGAAGAATTCATCATTGTAAATTATTATTAGCTGCTTCATTCCAATATCTACATTA